ATTTTTTTTTTTTTTTTTTTTAGATTACAGCCGAGTAATATACGAATATTTTAATCTTTTACAACGCAAATAGCATTTAATAACCGAGTAAAGAAAGCTGAAGGGAGAAAAATATCTGGAAATCTTGTTTACTAATAACATAACTAATTATTTGAACCCATTAAAAAATTAATTAAGAAAAGTCTTTTATGAGACGAATTAATTTTAGGGAATAAGTTAAGCAGCGTGTTGATAAAGATTCTATTTTTAAGAAAATTAAAAAAAATAATAAAAATAATAAAAAAACAAAAAATCTATGCGAGTTCGAGAGAAAACATGCCCCATCCTTTCACTCATACTTCTTAATTATTATCCAGTTGTCGGCAAAATTGGGCAAAAAGTAAAAGGTTAATCGATACTTACCCGATTATGGCCACCTCACAAGAAAAGAGCCATCGTTCTTCGATCAATCTGTCCCGAATTCAACCAAAACAGAAGGATAATGAAAAGATAATAGCTTCTATATTGTGTAACAGCTGTTAAGAATAGTTTCGATTGAATATCAAAATAATATAACATACATAAATATAGAACAAGAGTATATAAAACGTGTTTTTTATCAGTATTAACTGTAAGAGAATTAAGTTACTTCTATTCTTTAAATATAAATTTTAGAAAAGTAATATATATATACTTTTTTTTTAGTTGTAATACTACTCTCTTGTCATTAGAGGAATCGAAAATTTTCGAGAGAGAGAGGAGAATTGACCAACCATTACTAATGACTACAGAGATGATATTTTTAGACTTATACGTGTATAAGAGTTGAAAGATAATCTTTCTAGCTTTAAAATTTTTGAAAATTGGATACAACTAAACGCCTACATCTCATTAATTATAATAAAACCTGTATAAACCGGAATCGCACGATACCGAATACTTTTTCCCCCGGTTTGGCAGGTTTCCGTTTTAAATAGGTTCTTTTTTAATTAACATAAAAAAAATCGCTAAGTTTAGGCAGGTTATCTTTTTATTTTTGGATAGGTTTTACTGTATTAATAATTTTCTACCGAAGCATAATTTGTTTGAGAACATTTTTATTTACTTATATTTGCATTTTTATTAAATATTACGAATTTATTTTATTTTATTTTTTAAATTGAATCAATAGGAATTCCGGTTATACAAGATATTTTTATTATTAATATGTTTTAAAATAGTACGAACTCGAATTATTATTTTTTTTAAAGTTTTTATAAGAACGAAATAAAATTTATTTTCTCAACTTATGTCTATTATATAATTGTATAATAACAGAAAAATAAAAATTAAATTTAAAATATTTTTCTAAGTATTTTTTTTTTACGTTTAATGTAATAAAGAATTTAAACCTTGATATATTTGATGATTAAGAGATTTGTTTTCCCCATTCGTTACATAATTAGTTATTGTAACGTAGAAAAGAGGTTATTGACACTATTTCACACTATTTTTAACGAATATCGAGCGGGTAACAAAGGAAAAATGCATATTTGCTCATTATTGTTATTATTATCATCAGAGTTTGCTTATTCAAACATTTCATTTTACGATATTGTAACCCGAAGCTATGTTAAGCAAGTATGTTTAGAATGTTTCAAGGCACTTGTCAATTCTGTCAACATTCAACAACATACATTTAGCTTCTTTGGTAATGTCGATTTACAATACTGCTTTGTAGACCGTGTGTAATTATAACGCCATTTGTTACATGACAAGCGTGAAGTTGCTGAAGGTGTCCGAGAATCCATTATCTCAACCCTCTTGTGTACGATCAGCTAAACTCATAGCCTGATTTCCTACTTTCCGTCCTTTATGATGTAGATGCTATTATTGTTGAGTAACAACGAAAATTTCAATAGAAGTGAAACACGCAGACAGCACGACTTTATCTCCACGGAATTTACAGTGGTTAGATTTAAGCTTGTCCAGTAGTAAAATCGCTATAGATAACATCCACACTTTAATGTGGCTGCTTCCTATCGCCGTTTTAAAGTTATGAGCTACATAATGCATTTTGGAATGACACAACAGACTACTTTGTTTAACAATTCGCTTCCAAACATTTCTTTTCTCTGCACTGTTTATTATAAGTTTTGCTACATTTTCTGTTGTAACATTTAGATTACATCCGTTTCTCGTAAAGAACTGGAGGAAATTTGACTAGGTTGGAAGTTTTGTAAGGTGTTTATCTAATGCCTGCTACACTTTTATCATCATTCGCGGTTTTATCCTAAAATTATTCTCGACTCTAAATTTGGCACTTGTTCCAGATTTTTTTATTCTTGTTTAAAGAATGAGGTTATTGNATGATAACAAACTACGCAATTAATTAAAATAATTCAATATCGATTAATTCTAAATCTTAATTAATATAATCATGTAACTAAATCAGTTGATACGGATTAACTTTAAATTATAATTAGTGCGATAATGTAACTTAATTAGTCGATATGGATTTATTTTGATGTTTAAATTACAATCCGTGCGTTAATTTTGCCAAATCATCTCAAAACATATTTTAATTTAAACCAAGTCTGACAATTGGAAACGTTTAAAAAAAAATGTGCAAATTCATTAGATTTATGCAGAAATTTTGTTTTTAAATTTATTTGGTTATATGAAAAACAAATTAAAATTATTTAGTTACATTATTATAATCTGCTCGCATATTTAAATTTATTTCATTTCTAGCTACTCTACTCTATACTTGTGGCAACTTATAAAATATCCACTGAAAGATTTCTGGCTTGGTAAAGTTGAGATTGTGCTTCTATCCATCAAAGTCGAAGCCAGATCATTTGTCACGTGGTATCAGACACGTTGTAACGGTTTTGAGTACGCAACTTTCTATAATCCATTTTCTATTCTATACACTCGACATATCCAACACATTAATAAGTCTCTAATTCAAATTCAAATTAAAGATTAATTATAACAAATTTAATTAATAAAATTAGTTAAAATAGCCCTTAACTTATATATATATATATAAATTTAGAAAAAAAATTGTACTATATGTACGCAGCATGTCTAATTTTTCAGGAGGAGTGAAGGTTTAGAACGTCATAGAATAAGCAATAATCAAGTTAAATTGTAATATGTTCGCTAACTTGAAGTGACATTTTGTCACCGCTAGTGGATATAAAGGTGTTAGTGCTGACTAGACGAACAAAAGACTAGATTTACGGCAGAGTGACTCTAGATTGGATAAAACGGAGAAGTGAGAAGATAGCATTTACGTCAGCCTGATCTATGATTGATTTGGACAAATACAGTACTGTACATCTGTTGATACGCGACGATGTAAAATGGTTACGTGACGTCACGAATATGGTAATTACGATTCAACCTGTTCGTGACATCATATACCGCAATTAGCCTATAACATAGGCAAATTCTGACCCAATTCCTCAATGCGTCATTGAATTCAAGGTAATGCCACTTATGCAGACAGAAATGAATTTATCAGCTTTACAAATTGAAATTTGTTTATTCTAAACGCATCGACTTTCACGTAATATAAAAATCAATATAGAATATAATTAAAAATTCATAATTTCATTTACAAAATATTTACTAAATGTATATTGTATTGTAATTATCTATATTTATATGTTACTTAATTAAATTATTTATATATTCAGCTCGTCTACATAATTAAAAACTTTAATGAAAATTAAACAAATCCTGTGCAGCTCGTTAATTTAATTTAATTTTTTTTTTTACGTTATTATAGAGCTGTATGGATTTACATTATCAACGTATAATGCGGATGCTGTTCAAGAGGTATTACGATAAATCTTAAACATGATTATTTATATGGATTCCAATTAATGCTTAATTAGGATTTGATCATCTTCTCTAAGTAACAGAGACGGATTTATGTTGGGAGGTATCCAACATTAATTGACTTCTGAAGTGTAATACGTCTTTGTAATAAGTGCCAATTAATCTTGTGATAATTCTAATTCTGTTAATCTTTACGATTTAGTTAGAAAAGTTGTGAAATTTATCAGTAAACTTATACTTAATTAAAAAAGAAAAAAGCAGCAATCCATATCAAAATTTTGAAGAACAACGTTAATTACAATTCAAACTCCAAAGTGTTAAATACCAACTACCTCTAGAACTATTAAGGAATTTACCTTTATTTATCAATAAATAATATAAATTAATTATATAAATATAATTAATCAAACTATTAATAGTTATATCTATGGATTTGGCGAATTAATTTAAACTTCATTTAATTTCATTTAATTAAATGCTTATATGTGTATAACATCGAAGGATAATTGCGTATGGAATAGTAAAGCGCTATTGTTATCTTTGTCTTCTCAGACTTTAAATCATTATATTTCAGGAAGATAGAAATTAAATTTCAAATTACATTACTAAATATGTTACAAATTATATTTAATCCGAGAAAATTTGACCATAGACAGAGAGAAAGGGAGAGTCTGTGTGTGTATGAAACGAATATATTCATCAATAAAGGTTAAGATCATTTATAACGAATATCATTAATTTATATCGTAATTGTTTATAACTAAAGCGACTTAGAAAATTAATTTTTGTTATTTTAAGACATTCCTAATTATCGAATATATATAATTTTAATTCTAATATAATTTAAAATTCAAAATTCAAAGNCACTCTTGATATCACCAAACAGTTTTAAGGTGTGGGTTCGAACCTCGCCAACTTGGAGTTTTCCGGGTTTCCATCACGTTTGTAATACCTAAATAGGGGACCAGTTTCTATGAGAAACTTGCCCCTATTTAGGTAGATTAAAGTGTCTTCTACACTGAAATTTTAAATTACTACGGAGTGTTTCAGTTACAGGCGTATTCAGGAAAGGGCTAGACAGGGTATATACCACCCCTCTTAACCATATTTTTTTTTATAATTTAATTTTTTAATATTTAATTTTGATTTTAAAAAAATAATTTAAGAACATTTTTATAAAAGATAAAATCGTAAACAAACTAATACATTAAGCTTACTTTAATAAATTGACGTGATTATTTTTAAAAAATTAATTATTTTTATAATAAATTTTTCTTAATCTTATTCGAGATTTATTCATTCTATAGAAAAATAAATTATAATAATTTTATAATATATTTTATTAAATACATCAACGTTGAATGTGTTTGTAATGTAAAAAATAATAATAATAATAATAAATCCCCCACAAAAATTGCTTTCAGGCAATTATTGTTCTAGGAAAATATTTTTATTATAGCTTATACATTCGAAATAAAAATTATTTGCCTTGAAAATAACTAAAATAAGCTTATCAGTTGACAGATTAGTAGATAAAATTCACTTAACTTCGTGAAAAATTTATTAAACTTTTTTTATAATACATCAAAACGAATATTAAATACACGAAATTTAAGCCCTTAATAAAATTTACGAGTTAATGCATTTTCTACATACAAAAAATATATATATAAAAACAGTCACGCAAACAAAAATTATATGTTTATATAGACCTACATATTGTTTTTAGTAACACACTCAGTACATAGGTGCGATGGGTTATAAATATGCAAATTTTTTTAGTAACACAGTCATCAGTTATATTCGAAAAGTCGCAAGGTAAGCAAAAACTAAGTAGTCCAATTAAAATATATTCGAAAAAAAAATAATTAAGGAAATAAATTTTATAGATGAATAGTACACGTAAAATAAGCGTACCTCCATGATAAGATGATGTCGGATCCCTTCATTCAATTGCGAGTGTGACAGTCGGAAGTTTAGCATGGCAAAGACATTGTAGACTTCTGCCATCGTTACCCATTCCACGTGCAATGCTTCGTCTAGACACGGGCACCACCAGATCGACAGCTCACCACTCGCTAACCGCTCATTGGATGCTGCTACGATCATGTGACTAACACTAACTCCCGCTGTTCCTCTTGCAGATGTGCTGCCTCTACCAATACAAAAATTTAAATATGCTGAAATTTAACACTTTACGTGCGACTTATACCTAAGATGATTATTAAAATTTTATTTTCTTAAATAATTATTTTATATATATGTATGTACTGTATATATACATGAATAGTTTGTTTTAATATTACATTACAGTAAAGGAATTGTAACATTTAAATGCATGACCAGAGGGTTCTATAGCCTGTACGTGAGTAGTTTAGTGTCGTTTGAAGTGCTTTTAGCCACTGCATGTAATTATTACCCTTAATTCAGTACAAAGTATAGGTTAGGAAGCTGCACCAGAAAGAAATAGGAAGATTTTAGCTAGTAAAAATAACTTTCATCTTCTATATAGAAAAAAATATATATAATTGATCTTTTAACATTCATACAATTAAGCAGAAATCTGTAACAAAAATGCAAATTTTATTAATTTTAAGCTTATAATTAAAACTGATTTCACGAACTTAATTATATGATCGAGTATTTTGTCAATATTATGGAAACTTAGTAAGATATGAAACATGTAATAAATTAATATTACAGAATTTGAAGCTTTCGTCAATATAAAGTTTAAATTATGCAAATTCCATATAAGATTATATATACCACATTCGGACAGCTGTGACCACAGTAAACAGCAATGACGTGTAAAGTTTAGATTATGCAGATTAAAAGGTAATCCAACACATTTCATAACGAATTGCTCTTTGTCTTTCGGGACGACAAAGTTTGGAATGGTTCCACGCTGTCTCAGACACACTATAGATTTAATTAGTTCAGGCAGATGTGCACTATTCTCGGGTCAAAGGATACGACATCAAAATAATACAGTAAACAACCCGGTTGTTTTTCAAAGTTCTTTTTTTTTTAAATACAGTTTAACTTAAAAGAATTTCGTTTTATTTTAGTCGCAGTATGTTTAAATTTTAACACTCCCCTTCCCTATTAAGTTTCAGGTACAAACGTTTCAAGGTGAAAAGGTATTTTAAAATTATACCTTTTAGCGTCATTAACAGCTGTTAGTTCGTAATGTAAATGATATCGTTCAGTTATTTTTCTCTTTTTAATTTTAATTAATATAATAATAATATAATTATTTAAACTAGTTAAAATAAATAGGTATTAAAATGTTAACTTTTCAATTAATTAAAATAATTCAATATCGATTAATTCTAAATCTTAATTAATATAATCATGTAACTAAATCAGTTGATACGGATTAACTTTAAATTATAATTAGTGCGATAATGTAACTTAATTAGTCGATATGGATTTATTTTGATGTTTAAATTACAATCCGTGCGTTAATTTTGCCAAATCATCTCAAAACATATTTTAATTTAAACCAAGTCTGACAATTGGAAACGTTTAAAAAAAAATGTGCAAATTCATTAGATTTATGCAGAAATTTTGTTTTTAAATTTATTTGGTTATATGAAAAACAAATTAAAATTATTTAGTTACATTATTATAATCTGCTCGCATATTTAAATTTATTTCATTTCTAGCTACTCTACTCTATACTTGTGGCAACTTATAAAATATCCACTGAAAGATTTCTGGCTTGGTAAAGTTGAGATTGTGCTTCTATCCATCAAAGTCGAAGCCAGATCATTTGTCACGTGGTATCAGACACGTTGTAACGGTTTTGAGTACGCAACTTTCTATAATCCATTTTCTATTCTATACACTCGACATATCCAACACATTAATAAGTCTCTAATTCAAATTCAAATTAAAGATTAATTATAACAAATTTAATTAATAAAATTAGTTAAAATAGCCCTTAACTTATAGGCCTATATATATAAATATTTAATGCATTTTTTTTTGAGTATGTTTGGTTTGAATTTGAATTATTTAATATAATGTTGGTTATAAATAATTTTTTTTTATTAATGTCTCATTTCATAACAGTCCAGTATTTTAAATTATGATAATCAAAATACATCAGGTGAACTGTCATTCTGATGGAGCAATTCCAATAAAAGTTCCAACTTCACCTCTCTAAGCCGTTTATTCTAATCTAGTATACGATATTGAAATTTTCTAAGACAAGTTGATTAAGATGTCTGGAAAATTTTTGTGGGTAATGGAGTAAGATTTACTTCCTTACTACTAAACTTCTTTGGGTTTTCCAGCTGAGTTTAGCTTTATGACTTCAATCAAGATGAATGCTTTGCTGGAATTTGTCCATTATAAGAATTTTTTCGTGTTTATATATATATATATATATATAACATATATTCATCTTTTATATAGCTTATAATATAAACCATAAAAGATATTATATAGATATATCTCACATAAAAATAAATTAAATATTTTTAAAAAAAATATTTTAATAAAAGAATAAATAATATCGTTACACAAATTTCGATAAATATTGCTTGAGATTTTTAAAATTATTTTTATAAAAAAAAAATAATAATAAATTCAATGCCCGTGTTAAATTATGGTAGATGTTATAAATTATATTAAGAATTGAATATTTTCGATATAAAAAAAAATTCTTCCACGAATTTATACACGTTAATAATTGTATATTATAATAAATTAGTTTTGATTTTAATTATATATATTCTTTTTTATTAAAATTTGTTTTAAAAATTTTTATCACGATTTATAAATTTAATATAATTAATATGTAGCCTATAATAAGAACTTTACATTATTTAATTTAATATTCTTCAGGTGAATTTTGTAAAAATTAATTTTGAAAATTCTTTAAACAATTTGCTTTAATTATATTTAATTTTTATTGTTTTATTGAACTAAAAATGCAATTTATTTTTCCTCATAAATTAAGCCAAATTGAAGACTCGTGTTGCGCTATTAAAAGAATAAAATATTCCTTAAAAAATCTAAAATTTTAAAATATTTAAGTAAATATAATTTCTATAAAATTCTTACCGTATTATCATTAAAAAACAGATAGAGACATTTATTAAATTTTTGAGGAAATTATATTAGAAAATAAAATAACCGGCTTTTAAGATGTATGGTTAATTGTTTGCTAATTAATTTTCGTTTTAAGGAAGAAACTGCTTGTTAATTCTATATTCACGGTTTCAGATTCGATCAAAGTAAAATAAGATTAGTAAATCTAATTTACAGTAAATCTTTTTTTTTTTAAGTAAATAAAAGTTATTCTCATCGCTAATTATAGGTAAGTTGGTGAATTTAGAAGGAAAGAGTCCGACAATGGGAACTATCCATTAAGAACGTTTGACGTGTAACGCACACAAAAGGACCAAATTTATAGATTGTATTTTTTTTATATATTTTCGCTTGAATGGATGTCAATACACAATTTCCTCATCGAAAAGAAACGGAGAAATAGATTTAACGGACAACAGACATAACAATAGAAGCATTTCTATTGTGATCGAAAAATAACAACTTCTTGAAACTTTTAAATTTAAAGCTTCAGACTGTAATTCTGTTCTGTCGATTATGAAGTCTAAATCCATTCAGAGTATAGAAAGACCTTTTCATTTTGATATCTTTATATCTGTATTATATATATATATAAAGTTAAAAGTAATAAAAGAATAATAATAAATTTTAAAAAAATACATCGATTGGAAACATTCCAACCTTCCAAATTTCTAACTTTCGTCAGTTGTTAGTTTTGTAATAAGACACCCCACAAACTACTATTTTTTTTCTAGTTCTCTCTCTCCTTTTTTTTAACCTGCTTTTTCCTTTGTAGTTCCCTCTTTTAACCCCTTTCACCCCCTTTCTTCTATTCTTGTAAAGTAAGACTTTAGCTAATAGGATATCGATCGTTTGCATTGTGAATGCAAAATTGAGCTCGAAATTTTCCTATTAGACTTATATGCAAAGAAATGTGGATTTTACGATTTTCAAATTGTCAAATTCTTCTGTCGAAATCAAATTTAGTTTTTCTTTCTTTTTTTTTCTTCCAATCGCTTCTACTCGAGTGATATCCGAAGCTGTTTGTGTAATTACGTTCATCCCCGTAATACTTATAGGAAAAAGGGGAGGGGGAAAAGAAAGGTAAAATAATAATAGAAAATGTAAAAAAAAAAGAAAAGGGAAATCAGTTTGGGAAAGACTCGAATGATATATGATCCAAGACGAATATATGTGATTGATTATCGCAATGTGTGGCCAAATAAATAACTTGGAAGATTTCACCGTTTCTTTCCATATGATATAGGCTATTTGAAATATACCCTATGAGGAAGGCAGTTATTACACTTATTGATATATTACTTTTCATACAATAGATACTGAGAACGGTTTCCTACAAAAGTACTCTAGTTTTCCTATTTGAAGAGAAAATAATCAAAAACTTCGATTTTAAAAGTAGAAAAAAATGCATCAAAAATGAATTGGATCGTAACAATTCTTTATTTTAAACAATTTTCTAGTAATAAATTTTCAAAAAAAAAGTATAGAATTAAAAGAGAAGAATTGTTTACGAATTTTTTTCTTTCTTATCCCTCACTTTTAAGGAATTAGAAATGCCAAGTTTACTCTCTTCTATTATGTATAAAATTTTATTGTTTAACTTTATTTTAAATAGCTTTAAAGAACTATATAAAGGAATAGAAACTGTTTAAATTTTTCTAATTTTTATTCCTTTTTCTACTAATATTTGTGGAAGGTCAGTGTAAAATTACAAAAACATTTGCAACTTATTGTATTAAATCTAAATCTGAAAAAAAGTGTGGTTATACTCTGAACTTCCTGTTCCAGTTACAAATATCAACAATATTTGTCACAGTTATTCAAAAGTTGTTATGGTGAGATATACTGATTGATATTAAAATAAGAATTCAAAGAAAATTCTGCTTATTTAAGATCATGGTACGACCTTATATTGCAAAAAC